TAGGGCTTCATTCTGGGCGAGTTTGAAGAAATTCGATTTTTTCGCTATTTCCAAGTCTAGTTGATATTTAGGCGAAGCTCCTCTTAAGTATTATGCCATTCTCGGTACTCCCAAGAAGTGGGTCACACTGTAAAATTCCGATAAAAGAAAGGCCTTATACAAGTTATAGGTTTATTATTGTTCAAAAGGGCGCTTTGGGGGTTTATTAGAGGAGGGGGAAGAACTTTGCGATCCGAACATGTTTGGGTTGGATAGGTGCTATGCTCAAGAAATGTTTGGCGCTTCCAGGAACACAGCTTCGTGAAATTCTGTAAGCTAAATGTTAAGAAGATCAGTGACAGTGACTGTCATTCGTTGGAAATCGAAAGTCTCTGAGTATACCCTAAAAACATAAAACACTAAACAACGTCTGCGTTAGAAGAATTTAAATCGAAGAAGTTGTACATGGACATGTATCTTCTTTTAGAGTTAAGTCCTGATGAAAGGGAGAGAAGTTTATTACAAGCTTAGTTTTAAAAATTGAGTAAATGTAGTCAAGCGGTTTTTTCAACTGATGAAGGCTTAAGAGTTAGCCGAAACGTCTTGCTAAAATATACAAGTCAGAGACAAAAAACGGCACTTTTAATCGATTAAGCTAAGTATTAGTTCAGTTCTATTTCTAGACGATGGCTGTTTATGGAAATTAAGATGTCAACGTTGTCACACGTTACAGAATGAGGCAGAATCGGTTTTGTTTTTGTTTTGCCTTTTGTTTCCCTGCGAGGTCGCTGAAAATTGAAGATGTTACCACGAACCCCTAGGTCATGAAAAGACCATACATAACAAGTACCATGAAATTCGTAATATTTTATAGATTTTAGAAAAATATCAAAGGGTATTGAGAATCATTCCCTTAGATCATCCACTCTTGTCTAGGGGTTAAGTAGGACTCATTCTCCAAAGGGTTTTCACCAGGGAATAGGGGAGGGGTAAGACTTCTTTTGGGAAGGGGTTATCATAAGAATACTTCAAGCTTAATAAGCTTACCAAGTAGTCTTTGTCATAGAGATGCCAGACATTGTCATTATCTTTCCAATGCCATTTCCAGTTCGTAAACATGGATTCATGTGGCCATGTGACGTAACACACAGGGGATAACCGCCTCAGTAGACCTGCTAACAACCCCTCACCACCCCTTGGCCTTTGAAATGTGATGGTCATATTGTCCAGGTCAATCGTAATTTCATATTCCAGATCACCAGGAAACCTACCCTGCCTGAAAATCATAACAAAGCGACTATATCATTTCACACACCTAAGAATATTAAAATAAGTTAAGACATGTAAGATATGCTTTCCGTATCACCCAACTAGTGGACTAATGCAAATCCTGCATTTTAATTGGCTACGCCACTGGAGGACTATTAGTAATAGTCCTNAAGTGTCTTGCCCAAGAACACAACACATTGTCCCCGGCCAGGGCTCGAACCCGGACCGCTCGATCCGGAGACGAGCGCACTAACTACTAAAACAATTACACCCTTCGCCCTCAAGAGCCACGGGTCAATAGCCCATGAGGCGAAGCCTCATGGGCTATTGACCCGTAGCCCGCAAGGGCTACGGGTCTAACTGTTAAATAGCACCATTGCAATAATCTTTTCTCTCGAGGACAACGCAACCCTAGGCCTTTCATTTGCTTCCCTACCTATATTTCTCGATTTTGGGAATAGGTTTTAAATCCACAAGCAATTGTCATGTGTGACTTATATACGTGTATGAACGTGTACACGAAATACAGGCAACAAAATTATAATCTTGGTATTACCCTGTACCATCGTCTGCAAAAGCTAGTGACTTCTAAACAGGGCGAATACTAGATACAGTGGGTTTGTAAAAAGAGCAACTTTTACTCTTAGCAAATGAAAACATAACGATGGAGGCAATGCTTTAATTAGTGAAAAGATGTAGTTCTCTGCTTGATATATTTAGCGATGTTTATGATTGATGCAAGTTCCTATATAGAAAGGAGACGCTGAAGGGGGGTTAATCTAAATAAATTTACACTCCTAGGTAACTTTACTCCTTCTGTTTCACCTTTTAAACTCCTGAGGATATACATATATGCTTTACCATGATCCAAACCGTAGATACATGTATCTTAATTCTGTTTTTAATTAGCCAATCAAATTGCAAGAGGTGAATGAATCCGAGTTCGCAATTGAATGCTGGATCTTTCAAAGTTCTTGCACTTTCATTGACAAGTTCAAAGAAGAAGCCAACGTTGCGCGTAAGATGCCAAAACGTTGCCGAATAAAATTTTGGTAACTAGTGGTAATCTTACAACTCGCAATAATGATTAGAGACCATTTTGTGGTTTAAGTATGAAATGAATAATATATAAATTTAGCCAAGCCTAAAAGCAGAGCTCCTGGGCCGGGTTGTTCAAAACCTGATTAAGCTAACCCAGGATAAATGAGAATTTTGATTTCAGTTCAAGGTTTTTTTTTTTTTTAACTTGGCGGTGAGGTTTTCTGCTTATATTGTTTGGCCTTCTGAGTTTGAACAAATCTCAAACTACACAAACATAAGCAGTGAAAAACATTTTTAAAAAAGAAAAATTTATACTTCGGTTAACTTTTAATCCTTGGTTAGTGTTAACCAGCTCATTTCCGAACAACTCGGCTGATTACAGTAATTTAACCTGGGTTGAGCCCGCGATTCAATAGAAAAGCCTGTACTTGATCAGCGGTTAACTTCAAACTTCACGGGTTTCTGTGAGTATGGGGCTCCGCTATAAACTTGCCTTTGAAGACGAGAAAGATCAAGGGACTGGGCTGGCTTGAAATTCACTAGCGTTCCGACATTCACATCACAGTACAGCTTTTCCAGAGCCAAGTTGTCTTCATCAGTGAAACATTTCCATTCATCAAACAGGGAAACTTTGTATTGCCAGTGGTAAGGCAAAGAACAATGAAGCTCGGTGCATGCTGAGCCTTTGTCACATCTTCCAATAAGGAACTGTTGACAGATAGATGTATCTGGCTCATCCTGATGAGTGTGGCCTGTCAATACAAGAAATTCGAAAAGTGAAGGATTTTGTTACTGAAACTACATTGCTGTAGTACAATACTGTTGTTGGACACAGCAACCTTAAACCAGAGGATCACCAAATATAAATATCAATAATCAATATCAATAAAGACCACTGTTAAACAGTCAACATTTGCAGTTAATTACCTTCTCTCAAAGTTGAAATCAAGTGCTTAGCACAGAACAAGTGCATCGACTAATTTTAGTTTGTGTGGCAGTAATTTCATCTTTTACAAGGTCAATAATAGGACATACATATGTACTAATGAATGAGAGCAAAAAATAAAAATGGCATAGATTAAGATAAAGAAACGGACCTTTCAATCATGTCACTAAGCAATAAAGCAAAATGGTAAGTGTCCTTCGAGGAACTTATAAAAAAAAAGTACAAAAAGGTACACTAGTAAGCTGTAAAATAGGCTGAATAAATACTTCCTGCAGCAGTTCCACTCGGCGTGAAGGCTGATCCAAGACTGATTGTGCTTCTCGCTAGGTTTACAGTTGTAAGCTCTGAACCAGTCACAACTGAAGCCGAGTGACTCATTTCGGCAACAGTTCCCTTCAGCATGGAGATTGTCTGAGCAATTAGTCGGGTTCCAACACTAATGAGCTCTGAACTAAACAGAGTTGAAGCTGAATAACGACTTTCTGCACCAGTCCCGGCCTTTGTGGACGCTGTGCCAAGATTATCTGAGCATTTAGTCGCGGTTGTACCAGTAAGTTCTGCCCTAGACACAGTTGAGGCTGAATAGCTACTTTTTCTAGTAGACCCACTCGGCAAGGACGCTGTGTCAAGATAATCTGAGCTTCTTGTCTGGGTTATACCTGTAAGCTCTGCATTAGACACAGCTGAGGCTGAATAACTACTCTGTGTAGTAGAACCCCTTGGCAAGGACGCTTTGCCAAGATAATTTGAGCAACTAGACTGATGCTTCAGAATTCCGTGCTCAGTTCTTGGCGCCATTGGCATTTCCAGGGGCGTTGGTCCCTCAAAGTTCGGTTTGGCCACTGCTGCAAACCAACTCGGTGAAGCAAATCGGCTTGAAATAGACACAGCTGAGGCTGAAAAACTACTTTGTGTAGAAGAGGAAAGGGTAAGGCGCTGCGCTGATCTCTTTTTCAGGAGTAATGGGCCGGCGGCGGGCGGTTGAGGTGATAAATATTGAATGACGTACTCTGGGTAGAAGTAATTGCTATCGAAGACGACGAAGATGGTTGGGTTTGAAATGTTATCCACACACGAGTCATACAGATGGGTGGCGACATTTGAACAATCCTTTGGTGGTGGTCTTTGATAACTGCGGTGGCCCTTGGTATAACAACCAACGAGTACTTTGGCCAAAAACATATACTGAAACGAATTAGAATCTCTCTTCGCGTAGGAGTGGCTGGATAAGGCATTGACTGCAAAGTAGGTTCCTTGGCCATACATAAGCCTCCTGTTCTTTTTATGTATTCGCGGATCAAAGTTGTCTTCACAGATGGCCTCTACGTTTTCTGGACTGGTTCCGTGAAACAATTTCTTCTCATTAACCTGCTGCTGATTTAAAAGATGAGCTTTTTGCATCATCTTTTCTTTATTCCTTCAAAAAAGAAAAAGAAATAGACCATTTTCGATATTTTAAAATTCTAACTTGGCTCCGAGGCTTGGGGGAATAAAACAAAAGAAATCACATCGAGGTTAAGTGATGAATAGTTAATTTCTTTTGTTTTATTCCCCCAAGCCTCGGAGTCATGTTAGAATTTTAATATATCGAAAATGCCCTACTACCATATGAAGGGTTTGTTTGTACAGAGAACTAGCCACTATTAACAAAGGATCAGAGCTTGCGAACACTTGTAGGCACGCAAACAAATTTTTACTGAAAAACACCTAGTATTGTGAAAGCACGTGACTTCAAGGTAACCCTATATAAACCAACTACTTAACGTTGTCATCTAGATACTGACAAGTAGGAAACACTCCCACGAAACAGTTCTGTCGATCGAATAAAATGAACGAGAACTAGCCCAGTCCACTTTCTTTTAGACGAAGTTCCATTACTGTTAAGCAATCTCTCGAGGGCAAATCGGACCACATATTCAGTATGTTTGTATCTATGTATGTATGTTTGTATGGTGATCTAACCCAGTGGTTGCGGGTTCTTATCCCATCAAGGTTAAGATAAGTTTTCTTACATTTTCTTTGCTTCGCGGGTTTCCTAATTTTCTGTTCTTAGCGGGGCTAACGCTGAGAAGGAAATTTGTGGATTAATTTTCAGTACTCCAGAGTTAAAATTTTGTATGTCATCTTTGCAAGCAATTAGTGCTCATTATCGGCTGAATCATATTAGAATCATATTCGTTTCCACTCAGCGTTTTGCAAATCATGGTAACATTAAAAACACCATGTATGGTTGTTATATTTTTTCAATATTCTAATCCTAAACGTTTACTCTGGTTCACATTTTCTCAAACAGTTATTTCGTTACCTGCAGTACTCCTCCCAAATTAAAGGATTCTGAACACGATCGATATTTTCGATCACCGCCCGGCCATTCATCGACCGAAAGAACAACTTCTCCACGTCTTGAAATTCGGCTGAAGCTGCGTCTAATGCAACGCGTGTATAGGGCACACTGAGCCGCATCGAGGACCAGTGGCTTGGAACATTCACAGGTCTTTCCTCTGTTCTTCTCTTGGATGTGGGATCACCACGAGCCCTTGAAAGAAACCAGTTACATATCTATCTTTTCCAGGCTTTGAAGTATTATTTTTCACTATTTTCGTATTTAAGCTACCTGTGGTTTCAATTAATTGTAAAATACCATGCGATATACTTCTTGTCACGCTCAAGTTGTAATTTCAAATTCGATCCGCATTGTACAGATCAAGGCGTTTCCATGAATCATGGACGCTCTTAAGGCAGTTTGACGAAAAGATAGGGAGCAGAGATGGTGCAGTGAGAGGGCTCGCCTCCCACCAATGTGGCCCGCGATCTTGTCTTGGATCCAGCGTCATAAGTGGATTGAGTTTGTTAGTGGTTCACCTTCTTGCTCCAAGGGTTTTCTCCGGGTTTTCAAGGTTTTCCTTCCTCTATAAAATATTCAACACTCTAAATTCCAATTAAATCTCGAATCACGAACAATTTATAACGAGTTAGAAAGAGCTCTTCCGTGTATGGTGAGTAAAAGATTGCATTTACTGTAGATTTACATTTGCATGAATCTACAAATCGAAGAATCTATAAAATATCCATACCATTCATTTAGATCGTCGTAGGAGATAGGTTTTTCAGGTCTCCTTTTCACCTGTCTCTTGGTGCCAGTTCTCACATTGACCTGGTACATCTCTCTTGTCGAATCAAAAAACACGTTGTACACATTCTCTGGGGTTAGAAACTGGTACATGGCTTTTGTTTTGCCCTGGCCTAACATGTCTTGATAGGCTTGCTCTATCTGTTTCTGTAGGTCGCTTTCCTGTAAGAAAAATGTTGTCGTGTTACCGATAGTTAACCATTTATACTCACAATGAAAACCTGCTTGTCGCTTTTGCTTTTGTTACAAAAATGTATACATGTTTGGGTTGGAAAGGTGCTGGTGCATACAGGAACACTACTTAGCTACAACTTCGTAAGACTTAACCTAAATGCTAAGATTTTCTACAGTCATTAATTGAACATAAAAATTTTGAGTATACTCAACCAGGTCTGCNTGCCACACGTTGGCATTATCTTTCCAATACCATTTCCAGTTCGTAAACACGGGATCACATGGGCTGATGACGTACGACACGGTGGACAGGCGCCTCAATAAGCCCACTAAGAAACCTCCACCACCCCTTGGCCTTTGAAATGTGATGGTCATATTTTCCTGGTCAATCATAACTTCATATTTCAGGTCACAAGGAAGCCTTCCATTTCTAAAAATCATAACAAAGCAACGGCATCATAACATACACCTGAGTATACTAAAATATTTCATGTAGCTGGAGAACTGAATTCGAATACTAAATGAAACATTATCGGCAAGTGAGATATGTGGGTTCAACACCGTTGTTATTCTTGCAACAGTGCAATAGGTACGTGTTTTTTAGATTGATCTCATTCTCAGATCTCTTCAGTTTCTGAGATCTCTCAGTCCAAGAAAACTAGAATTTGACTACGAAAATAATTGCAGAAAAACTATTTTAAGCAAATGTTCTTGAGAATGATCTCACTTTCAGATCTCCTCAGTTACCGAGATCTCTCAGTCCTTGTCGGTGTGGGCAAGAAAGCTAAAATTTGACCACGTAAATAGTTTCAGAAGAACTTTTTTACGCAAACGTTCTCGAGAAAAAATCCCTTTTTTAAGCACTTTCTTTCTTTTTTCCCTTTATTTCGTGATGAAGGTCAATTCGGGTAAATGTAGATTGAGGGTTTATATTACAACCGAATGTATGGAGTTAAAATTGTGACATTACTCTGGTAGCACTTTCAGAGTAAGCATGAAAGTAACATACAAAGAGCACAGATGTTGCAGGTTGCTAATAGAGCAATGACCAAAAAGTGAGAAGAAACAAGCAAACAGCTACATCACGACGCTTTGTATAGTAGGTTTCTTTTTACAAACGAAGATTTCGTTGCTTGAATCCATGCTGAAAGTGACAATTTGTGAATCCCAATTAAAATCTGCGAATACTAAACGAGAGTCAACGTAGCGAACGATAGTAGCTAAAGAACCAGTTTAAACTTACCTTTCAAGACGAGAAAGATCAAGAGACTGGGCTGACTTGAAGTTCACTGGTGTTTCGACATTCACATCACAGTAGAGCTTCTCTAGAGTCAAGTTGTCCTCCTCACTGAAGCTTATCCATCGATCAGAAATGGAAACTTGATATTGCCACTGGTATGGCATAGAACAATGGTGTCCTAAGCACCTTGAGCCTTTCTTGCATTTACCAATAAGGAATTCCGAGCAAATGGATGCATCTGACCTATCCTGATGAATATGGCCTGTTAAAACAGGAATATTGAACTTTGAAAACGCGGTTATTTGAGTGTGCGTTGCTCTGAAATTAGTAAGAGCTTAACTTATCTCTCGAGTTTACTTCAGCTGAGGCTATCATGATCAAATTATTCAAAAAGTTAGAGCTTCAAATTGGACTCGGGAGAACGTGGTGGAGTTTTAGGCTTGTTTTCTGTGACTGTATCATGACCGCGGAATCCAAGAATACTCTCCCAGTTAACATGGACGCAAGTACTTATTAATCACGTTATGTAACTTACTCGCATCGTACTTTGCTTGGTTGCTGCAATCGCGGTTTACTCTGCCTACATCGAACTTTGTCTAGATTTGGGTGTCGCTCAGGTTAGTAATTACATCTCGTGAATTCGGAATAATTTCAGTACACCAGCTCTCAAACAATGGTTTTAAAAATATGGTACTCACATTTCGTTTTGTCTTTGCCTGACAAACTGCGTTTGTCGTCAAGAATCATTTTCAGTATATCAGCCTTACAGACGCTGCTCAACATAAGACGCTGAAGTACTGCCTTGGTCTGGTCAGTATCCATGGCTGTTTCATGATCTAAACCGCACTCGTATTCACCACTGCAACTTTTCCTTAAATAACCACAGCACATATGAATCCTGTTACAAGTATCACCTCGATTGCATACGCCATTATTGTACTCTACACAAATCTGAGGTGTCGAAGAGAGCACGAGCTTTTGGAGTTGAAGGTCTGTTAACTGTTCAAGGTTGATCCTCGAAAGCCAAGCCCTGTCCCTCTGGTTGTTGAAGTGGTGATTCAGCGGACATGTTACTCCACTGCTGCAGGAATCAATGATGTAATCTCTACAAATATGCAGGTTTGTGCAGTTGTGTTTGACACACTCTCCGTTCTTATTGTAGCTCCAACAGACACGAGCTCTTGCAGAGAAGGCATCGACTTGTGTAATCACCCCCTGGTTGCTCTCTCTCATCAAAAAGCTGCCTTTCGTCTTGCGAAACCAACCTTCAGCGCTTTCTGGTCCATGCGGAAATAAATCCTTTCGTTTAGCAATCACGTCAAAAGAGATCGAGGAACCGTACTCTTTACACAGGCATTCAAAGACCTTCTGCTCAGTTAGGAAACAAGGGGTCCAACTTGCTGAGCTATAAGCCAGACTCGTTTTGCTCATGGAATCAGAAGGTTTAGTTCGACCCTGTGAAGACTGTTTGAGTGAATCCTGAGCAGCTGGAGTTCTCATGTAGGACTTCGAAGTCGCTGGTGTCGAAACATTGCTCTTTTCACAAACCAGAAGAGTATTTAGGACGAAATTTAAGTTCCCATCTGTGCATTTTAGGCCATAGTTCTGAAGTATGGTACTTGTGTGGGACGTCAGCAAGGCCTCTTCGTGTTCCAGCCCACAATTTTCCGAGTCATGGCACTTCTTCCTTATAAAATCCTTGCAAATGTGTACCAGTGAGCAACTTCCACCATGTTGACATTCTCCCTCATTATAATCCAAACATACTTGGGGCATAGAGAGCTGTATAACCTTGCAAAGTTCTTCATCTGTCATGCCATCCAACTCAAGTTTGGAAATGAACTTGCGATCACGGTCAAATTGAAAATTGTGGTTCCATTTGCATCTGCTCCCGAAATTACAAACTCCAACAGTATGTTCCCTGCAAACATGAAAATACTGGCAATCCTTTCTTGAGCAACTTGTTGACGAAGTGTAGTTGAAACAAAATCCTGCTCTTGGACAAAACGTGCAGACCTCCAAGATGGTTCCGTCCGCCCTTTCTACGAGACGAAAGCTATCTTTCCTATTTCTAAACCACCCTGCAATGTTCTCAACATCTTTTGGAAACAAGTCTTTTCTTTTCGAGATGACTGCAAAGTGTACGGAACCATTGTACTCTTTACTAATACAGGTAAAGACAGCCTTCTTGGAAGTGGTAACTTTGTCGGAGGCTGACAAAGAACTACATGAACTCGAAATAGATTTCCGGCGTTCTTGCCCCATACTTCGACAATGAGAAGATATCATGCTACCAGATACTCGGGTTTGCTCAGGGACAGAATTCACTACCAACTCCTCGGTTAAGTCAGTACGTTTGGCATTTTCTGTAGCTAAACCACTGGGCGAAGCTGCTTTTGGAATTTGAAGGATTTTATCATTGCATGGACCTCTGTCTTCTTCACAAACTAAGATAGTTTTCAACGCGTTGTCGCGGCTGATCTCCCTCAGTCCATACTTCTCCAGCAATGACCTTGTGTGACGAGTATCAAGAGCCCCTTTGTGTCGAAAACGGCAGGCATCGCCATTCTTGCAGGCATTCACGATGAAGTCCTTGCAAATATGAATTCGAGAGCACCTCAAGTGGTTGGTACATTTACCTTTATTGTAACTGATACAAACCTGAGGAGATGATGACAGCATCAGGTGACGAAGTTGCTCATTTGTCAGCCAGTCCAAATCAAGCTTCAAAACAGTTTCTTGGTCCCTCTTATTTCGAAATGTGTGAGGTCTTGAGCATTTGTTTCCACGATTGCAAGACCCTGTGATGAACTTCCTGCAGAGGTGGAAATATGTACAATGTTTGTTCTTGCATTCACTAAAAGACACAAAGTCAAAACACAAGCGAAGCTTGGGGCAGAATGCAGTAACGTCTCGGACATTGTCATTTTCGTTCCGGGTGAACAAAAATTTGTCATTGTTTTCCTGAAGAAGCAATGAGACATCTTGAATTTCATTTACATACTTACGAGTTTTAAGGACGGTCATAGGCGCCGAACAATTGAATTCTTTACACAAGAATTCAAATAAAACTTCGGCTTTAAGGACATTGTTGTCCTGCTTTTTAGCCGGGTTTGCCACTGAACTCAAAGTCGCAGACGGTTCTTGTTTCCTAGCTGACTTTGCAGAAACAGCTGTAGCCTGTGTGTTTCCTGATGAACAGGCATTTTGCTTTCCACTCACAATTACAGCTGGTGTTTCCCGAGTAACAGCTGTCGCATTACGGCCACCTGGGAACTTCCTTGTTTCAATGCATTTCTGTTCGTGAAGAACCAAGATACTACATCGAACAAAATCTTTGTTCATTACTTGGTGCGGTGGTACCAAGTCGTATTCTTTAAGAATCTTGATGTTATGCGAGTCAGAAATGTCGTGCGACAAAACACATTTGCATGACAACGCTCGCACTTCTTGAGAACAAACATGAAGATACGGACATTTATCAGACTTACATTCATTTCTTAAATACAACTGACAAACCTGTGG